TCTTCCAGTGAGATGGATTCTGATGATACAGAAGATTATTCTATGTCTTCAGCCACAACTAGCACGAGAACTAAACAATGGCTAGAGGACAACTTTAGAGATAAAAAAAAGTCTGAATCTTCAAAGGTCAGCTCTAGTAAAAATTCATCTGTCTGGGCTACTGCTAACTTAAATTGTATCAGAAATGAAAATCATTGCCAAGGAATAAGAACTTCAAAAAGCATTGTGAATGTTGTATCTGTGAGTGATGATGAAGATGTAGTTGTTTGTAGTGGTAGCAGCAGTAGTGAGAAATCAGATTGTGAAGTTCAAGTTATTAAAAATACCACTACTAATTTGTCTGTAAATAAATCTTGTACCTTTCAGCATGAGAAACAGAATAACTCTAACCTATTGCCTGTGCACAGTTTGGAAAAGGCTACAGTAACGTCCAGCCCCCAAGCAACTGTAGATGAACTGTCTAGCAATGAAAACAAGAATACCAATGCTGATTTGTTAAGCTCTAGTTTGCAGGCTCACATGCATGAAAATATAAATGTTGATGTGTTAAGTTGTACTCAGACTCACAGACTTGATGATAGTAAAGCAAATTTGCTAAGTTTTACTCATCAGGCTCCCATACATGAAAATGCAAATTTTGATTTGTTAAATTGTTGTCCAAAGGCCAACATACAAGAAAATGTTAATTCTAATTTGTTAAAAAGTGAACTGAAATCTGACATTTGGGAAAATAAATATGCTTTAGAAAATGGCTATGTGAGTCAAGTTTCAGGATCACTAAACATGAACTGTGTAGGACCAGATCTAGTAAACTCACTCTTGAACACATCTGCTGAGCCATTGACTTTTATGAATACTGCATCTGCCTGTCCTTTACAAACAACACCAGAAGTTCAACTCTCTCTCGGTTTCCCTGCTCCAATATTTACTGCAAGTCCTTCAGTTGTAACATCCACATTGGCTTCCATGCTCTCCCAGTCAGGAACATGTGCCCCTTTAAATCTTATGTTCAATTCTGTTCCTCCTTTTAACCCTCCAGCATTTCCACCTATTTTCCCACCAATTTCCCGACCAAGTTCTGAAGTGGCTTCATCTTCAAGCAGTAAGCCTGACACTGTATGCAATTTACCTGACACTAATAAAAATAGAAACGTCATTAGTTTTGGAGTTGAAGGACTTTTAAAAAATTCAAAAGATAGTTGTAATGACTCACAAAAAAAGAATAATTTTGAAGAGAATACAATCATTGCTCAAGTATTTCCTGATCAGCAACAGTTAGAAGTGTCTTCTCTTCCAGTTCAAAAGGATTCTGTAAGTTGACATCATACTTTGCCAATGATGATTACCATAGACAAAAATTAGCTTTTGGTCCTATTTTGTGTGGTAAAAAAAAATATAACTGACAACTTATGTTGTTGAGACTTCAGTTTATATATATATATATATGGAATAATAAAATACTTGATCTTACTTTGAAATAAAACATTACTGTAGTCACATTTATTAAAGAAATATTTATATGTGAACATGAGCTTTTTTTTCCCCCATTGGTTTTGAACTGTATTCATGCATTAATTCATTGATTTGGTTGATATTAATATTAATGAAGCAAAAATGTCATTGGTAATTGAACTAATTACACAACAGAATTATTCAAATGTCCTTAGAATCCCTTTACTGAATTTACCTACCCAATTCTTTCTACATTATTCAATTATTTGGTTATAGTTCAACTCATGAGATGCACTGAAGGTTGTAGAGATGAAAATTAAAAACAAATATTTTTGTCTTAATAGTAGGCTTAAATGATTCATCTGCCACAATACTAAGTAGCTGTATTAACAACTGCAATCACTGTAATGAACAAATAGTATGCTAGACTTTTTCTTGTTGATATTTCTAAAGTTAAAATTTGACAGTGACACACTTTTCAGGAGTGAATTACCTCAGCACTTACTGACCACTGAAGACTTTTAGAAAGATGTCACTACCTCAAATTTTCGAGATAAAAAAGATAAAATGTCATAAGAAAAATATGACATATCATATACATTTTTAATGTAAATAAAGTAAATATTTGACTTGTGTTAAAAATTAAAGAATTCTTGTTATAATAATTTAAAAAGCAATTGTTTTTTTGCTATTATTCATGCCATAAATTGTTGCAGTTGAATTCCTAGGCCAGTTACAGTAGAATATGCTAACAATGAACAAATAATTGAGTGCAACTCTGTTAAAATGTTACACATATTTTTAACACAATTTGTCAGAGAATACTCTCAATAAATACAGTTGGGAGTTTTTTGTTTGTATCCTACCATTTCAGTTGATCTTGTTTAATATAAAGGTTTAGGACAATTAATTGGAGTTTGTTTTTGTTTGGTTTGCTTTGTGCTGTGCAAAATAACTTAGATTTTGGCTTTTTTTTTTTTTTTTTTTTTTTAAATGACATTTATTCTTTGCTTGTTTATGTTTTCTTTATTTAGATTTTTATTTTCATATAGTATTTTTGGTTTGCCATTACTTGATTTGATATTTCTTTTATAAGCCTTTTGCTTGAATTGTTCAATAACAAAAAAAATTTCTACAGTTAATTCTGTTTTTTGGGTTAATAGAATATATTCAAACAATATTTTAAAATGAAAAAAGTTTTATGTAAACAAGTGTTGTATTTTTTCAAACGTTTTTTTTTTTAAAAATTTATTGAGGACATTCAGCATGCTTTGAACTGAACCTCAGATTTTAATAACACAAAATTGTAGTTTTCTTTTAACTCAATGGAATTTGGATATAGATGTTTTCAAAAAAAAATCCATTTTAATTAGTTCTTAGCATTTTAATTACAAGGTATTTTATTTCAACAATAATCATCAATGGAGTGGAGCTACACCCTTTATTATATTAAATTGCCATTTGTTAAAAACTGTATTATTAGAAAAATCATTAGCTGAAACCCTATCAAGTTTAACTTGATACACCTGAAACAACATTTAATAAATATCATGATGCTGCAAATGTTATAATGAGTTCTTAAAAATAGATCTATTAGAAACTCAACAAATAGTATGCATTGATATTTAGTTACCTAATTGAAGCAATTTTTTTGTATTTCATATTTTTCCCACTAAAATTGTTTTCTAATCTAAAGATTTTGTCAGTATTTCCTACTCTTTTCACTCAGAATGAAAAACAAAATTTGTACCAGATGTTTCTGTAAACAATGAGGTCTATAGGTTGAAATCTGGATAACTTTTTTTTTTTTTGGAACTATTTTAAGATTTCAAAATGTCAACATATTGTTCTCTTTAAATTTCTCACTTGCGAACATCACTTCAATATTATCTTCTTGGACTATGACAACAGAATGTTTTTATTATGTTTTTTTTCAAAATTTGGTTAAATAAAGCGATAGCAAAATATTATTTGTTTCCGCTTTATCTCTGAACTAAATCTTTTTTCTATGTGTATATAAGATACTTCTTGATTGAAGTAACAATGTTTTAGTGGTAGACAAAACAACAAACTAGCAACAAAATTGATTTAGTTAAAGATTACAATCCTTGTATTGTTTGTATTATTGATACATTAAACTAGCATTTTTTAAACTTTTCTTTTAGTGTTAATTTTTTTAATGCCCCCAAAAATTGTTTTACCTATAGTTATTTGGCATTAGAACACAATGTTTGTCCCAAAAAATTTGAGTTGCTCTGCTTTGCCATTTCAAGAAGCTTACAGTCATGTTATTACAAAGTTTTCTAGTTAATCTGATATATTCAATCAAGTATTGTATGTCATTTAAAAAATATTGAAGGTTTTTGTGAGTAGTATTATCAAGATATTCTTGTAAAACACAACTAATTATGTCCAATCAATAATTTCATTAAAAACAATTTCTAGCATCCTTCTAAGCATTGCTGTGTTGTTAGGCATCACTAGCAAATGTTTGTAAGTCAATTTATAGTCAAGATTCCAACATACCTTTCCATTTCTATAAAAATATTAATTTTCAGCTCATTTAGTTTAATGAGTAATTCTTCTAATTTCATTTCTATCGCTGATTTGTTTTGTTTTCAAAATTGGCAATACATAATGATCACTTCAAGTAAAATACATTTTTTTTTGCTGGCAGCTAAAATCCTTTTCTATTGTAAATAAATCTTTATGATTGAGCATATGCTGTAACTTATTCTTTCTTTATTTCAATTCCTGGTGATACAATTAGACTCTTTTAAAATACCACTCAAAAGGCCCCCCAAAACTAGAAACATCAGAAAATATTTTTTTTAGACTTGTCACCATTGAACTAATTTTGATTGAATACTAAACATTGTTTTCCTAAACATAGACTACATCTCAAGAGTTCCTGTTCATCTGTTTCCTTATGTCACTTAAGAAAAGTAGTTGAAGCAGTTGAACATGGTTTGAAATTGTTGTTTAAAAAAATTATTTGAAGTATAATTAATACCTATCTATTGACCAATAATATATTTATTGTAAACATTTCCATAGCAGGTGCCAATTGTCAAATATGGCGAAGAAAACAACCTTCAAAGAAGTTCCCTACATTATTCCCCCAATCTCTGCATTACATTTTAATAGCTTATAATTCATCTTTTTTAAACCTTGTATTCTGCTGTAATAAACAGCAAAATGGTCTGTTTTGTTACAGGATTACCCATTCTTGTATTGAAGAACAAATAGAATACATTGTATCATGTATTTCAAATATTATGCATTTTAAGTTAATAGTTGTACTCTTTAGTCTGGTTGTTGGTAAATTTTGTTTATGGATAATATATTGGAAACTTTTAACAGCACCAGAATTATAAATTATATTTTAATACCTGTATAGACTATGTAATAATTGATATATGCTCTGATGACACATTTATGAATAATTTTCTACAATTTTATTGAGTGTGTGATGACATGAAGTTTTGTTGTCTTATAGTTGTAAGTTATGTATTCTATGCCTATTTATGAATGAAGTTTTGTTGTCTTATAGTTGTAAGTTATGTATTCTATACCTAGTTTTTCTACTGACTGTATGATGAATGCTGCTCCTACATTTATAAATCTGTCATGAAACTTTTCTTTATCAATTAAATTGTTTTGTTTTTTTTGTTACACAACTGACATTATCATGTTTGCTTATAAAATGTACTAATCTTTCCCTTCAATCTTGCTAAAAATAACCTTTCCCATCTCAAGTTTTTAAAACATTTCTATTGTAATGACTATGTCTTGTCATTTTTTATGGGGCAAACTTATACTTTTGGGTATTTTATTGCATAGAATTAATATTAAGACTGCTTTTTAAAATCCCATTTAGAGATTGGAAAATATTCTTTTGCATTCAAAACAGATTTGTGTTAATTAAATGAAACTATGACCAGGGCACCTTCAATTACATTTGAATTAAATATCTATGCAGTATAATTAAAGTAGCAATTTTTTTCTGTGGCCAGATGAGATTATTCCCTTTGACTTGATGACCTAATCCACATAAAACTTTGGTTTGACTATATCCTTGGGTTTGTATCCTACTTGTAAATCAGTTTGTCTCTCTTACTGTGTGTGTTTTTTAAATGAACAGTGTTTTCAAATTTCACAATTATATATTTTTTTAAAGGAATGTGTTGTTTATGCCTTTGTAAAAATGTCAAGTTATGTACCGTTATTTTGTATAAAAATATAATGTTCAGTATGATTATTTGTTCTCATACAATGAAAATGTAAGAAGAATAGAAATAAACATATTGTTTTAGAAAAAAATATCACATTTTAATTGTCATTTCAATAGTTCATCGCAACAATAATTAGAAATGAAATTATATTTTTAGATTTTTTAAAAAGTTACAATTTATATAAGCTTAGTACTGGTAGGTACTTCACTGACAAATAACATAGCAAAATACAAATTTAAACTTCCATATTTTGTATTAATCATAATAATTTTAATTTACATTACTATATTACTGCAGTAGTAATGAAATAACCATAATTAATAGTTCTCTTAATCCATAGAAATTTATAGAATATAACTCAGCAGTTAAACAGAACAGAAAGTTTTCATTAAAATGATGTCACCAGTGCAAAGATGAAAAAAAAAAAACACTCGTTAAAAGTTTAATAAACATTATAACAATAATTCTTAGAATAATTAGATAATAGCTCACAACTAGTCATTATAATTAACCAACATTTTTAAAATTCATATTTAAAAAGAGAAATCAATATAACATTCATGCTTGATGAACCTACAGTTGATATTTATGTTACACATTTTTTCACTTACCCATATGTGTAGGAGAAATCAAATGAGAGAAAGATAATATTATTTAAAAAAATTCTAATCAATAAATTAGGTGTACTAAGAAAATGTGTAAAAAAGTTCTAATTGTCAATAATTCAATACAAAGGGTAATAGAACAATATATATATATATTTATATATGAGATCGAGTATTATGATTAGTATTGCTTTTTGTACATAAACAAATGAAAAAACCTTTTTGACTACAAAACACAAGATGTAAATTAATGCCAGTGTTTGCATTGTAGAAATGTTAGAAAGCAATTTCATATTTAAAAAAAGAAACAGGAAAGTGATTGTAAATATTAACATAACATATTCATGTTAAAATACTTCACTTCACTGATACAGAGAGAAATGTATCTTTGCCATTTAACGGCCCCATTCATTTAAAAAAAAACTGATACATAGAAAACTGTTTTTAAATTTTACCACTGTACTTTTATTATTCTTGAAGAGATGCTAGCAGAATGACAATAAAAGAGGTTATTTTCTTGTAATAAAAATTCATGCAAAGTGGAAGTTTTTATGTAGAAAAATAAATTCATTTTTTTTTTGTTAAATAATTTCTTTTATTTAACACATGTATGAACTTGATCAGTGTCTTAGTTGTCTCTCGTGACAGCAGTATTGCAAGAAGACTTTTGCCATGATCTCTAGCACTGTGTCATGATGCTGTAGAAATACTATTCTGACTAGAAGAGAGATAATCCATCAAAAATTCATAGCAAAACTGATACTGCTCCTGAAAAAACAAAATATTATAATTAATATTTTTAAAATTGCTATAAGCCAGAGAGTGCAACATGCGACCCATAGTCATGGACAATATCAAGTGTCTCTCTTTGAAAATTTTAATAGTTCAATATTACCAAACTCTTTAGTTTACAACATAATGCATTCCTACAGAAGAATTATGCATGAACTTACTTTTTGTAAACTGTGTTTTTATATAGGTTAGTATAGTGAAATCTGATTTTTGTATTAATTTTAAATGATATAAAACCAAATTCTTTATCAGTGTGTAATAGTACTGTTAAAAAAAATTTAGTTTGAAATGGGAATTATTTTCCTGGCTGAGACTAAACCATCAGAAATTCATCTTAGTCACTCAAAATACCTCATCTGAATGTGATATCAAATCTTTTCTTTTGGAATCAGCAAATGATAAAAGGGACCTGGTGACCTTTTTTTTAAACAAATAATTTTTATAGAAAACATAGAAATTTGGAACAACAGGCTGAAAAAATGTGATCACTTTTTGACAGTACATATTGCAGTGAGCAGTTCTTTTGAAAAAATTGTTTGTCTAGAATCTCAAATGAGAAGTCAGCTGAAAGAATCAGATTGCAACTACATTGGCTAAAGAAAATAAAGATATGTAAACAACATAATTAAAAAGGTGTAAATTTTTTAAATTGTCAATAGTTACTGGCCCTGACAATACTTCCCAGTCACTGAAAGTGGCCCACTGTTTAAAAATGTTGCACACCCTGCTTAAGTAAGACAAAATATTATACAAAATAAAGTACACTAAAAAGCAATATTATATTTATGGGGTCAAAAGTTGGTTTAGTTGTTTTTTTTTCTCTTATATTATTATTATTATTATTATGGCTTTTATATAGCGCCACTTTCATGCTTATAGCATGCTCAGAGCGCTTTGGTCCAATCTCATTTGTGGACCAGTGGGGGGAAGGGGGTATCTAGGAGTTGGTTTTTTGTGCTGCCTTTAGGCGCTCAGTAAATACAACTTTGCCTGAGTCGGGTGTCGAACCTCGAGCTTCCTTCTAGGTAGCCAAGCCAAGTTCAAGCGCACTTGGCCTCTCGACCACGCTTCCCACCATCTTATAGTCACATTTATTATAAACAAAGAAAATCTTGAGAAGCAGAATAGAGATATATTTCTGGAAGAGAAAATCTTTACTTTACAGAATCCCCAAAATTTTAGCTTTTTTGGGTAGTTATATTTCCGGATTCCCCCGAGTCACATAGTTGTGTGTACACATCGAGCACCGTGCTTAGTTATAGTTAGTTTGTAGTGGGAATCTGAAGCGTTTTAAGTCAATATTTAGTGGTTTCAATTTACTCATTAGCGCTAAACTATAATTTGTTAATAACAGGAGAATCTAGAGATACATTTTTTAATAGTTTCAACTAAAACAAATAGTTAAACCTTTGAAAGAAGGTACCGAAGCGTTGGCCTATAATCTGCCATACTGAGATCAAGATTTCTACAATGAATGACTAGAATTGCATATCTTAGGATTCGGGTAATTAGTCCTAGATAAAAAAGTAACACTTTCATCTCCCCTTCCTCTCTGCCCAAAAGTAAACAAGCTTGAACTTGAGTAAAACACTTAAAGCAGACCAGTGTGTATTGGTCAGATAGCTCTAGGGCTAGTGTGTAGTCGATATGTCAACTAGTTGTTACAAAAGATGAAAAGACTGCCATGTGTTTTTCCTTGTGCGTAATAGGCTTCAGTTGTTTAGCGAACAAATAACACATCTGATATTAAAGGATAAATCTAGATCTACTCTTACAGTTACGCCCTTTCATTGTTAAATTTGGTTTCTAAGTAATAAAATGGATCTAGATCTATTTCGTCGATGCATTTTAGAAACTTTAATGTAACATTTTGTTTATAGTATCACAGTGAATTTCTTAAAAATGATAGAACTTTTTATAACATAATAATACATCATGTATCCAACACAAAAAATATATCTTAATGTTATCGATGTGCATAATGTATTTGTAATTACGGAACATGAAATACATAACGTTAAAAAATAGCTGAAGTTTATGAAAATAACAATGCTTTAACTAATATGCATATTATCCCGTATATAGGCCTATATATATATATATATATATATGTGTGTGTGTATGTGTGTTTTGTGTAGTTTATACCAAGCCTTTTTTTTTAATCTTACAAGAACATTTGTAAAAACATCTTCTTCTGTATGTGAATGTAGATCTATCATTGGCAAAGTGTTGACGCTTGTCATGACTATAAAGGAAATATCATTGATAATTTAAACCTATCCTTAAACAGTTCTTGGCCCTTTATGAAAACATTCATATAATTATTTGAACATTCAGGGAGTTGGTTGATGTATTCTGTATATTTTAAAATGTTTGTAAAAGTAAAATTTCGTAAAAATAGAGGAGCAACAGCAATGGAAATATAGGAAGACAAGGCCATTCTTCTCTTTGTTGTCCTACAATCATGTGACTTTGGTTAAAATAGGTCAGAAATACGGAACTACCTCATTGATGTACAAAAATAATCTTACTATTTACTTAGAACACATTAAGTAAATAAATGAACTGAGAAAACAGTTACTTTTTAGAATAAACACTTTTTTTAAAAGATTGTTTATTTTTTAAATTAATCAAACTTGTTACCATATTGTCTATGAGCTGAGTTCTGTTGAGTCTCAATTGCTTTACAGCTTGAAATACATCCACTTCTTGATCTTTTTTCATTCTTTCCAAAATTGTCAATGCTGCACAAAACAAACCACTCCGACTTGCTCCATTCCTGAATAGGGTTAAACAAAAGTATAAATAGGAAAAACTAAAATTCTGTACTAAAATTTTACCACTATACAAAACAATTCAAAAGCTTAATGGCAAATATAGATAGTACAGGCAATACTCAAGACTGAGGAAGTGATTAACAGTCATGCTTGTCAGGAAGGGCAAATGATTAAAAGCTCATAATGGCAAAAAATTTTATAATGTATTTAGACTTGAACTGTGCAATTTTGTTAAGGATTTCTTTTTGCTTCTTGTTACTCAGTTATATAAATCATTTCAAAGTAATTATCACCTATATGACCAAATATATTTACATGCAATGCACAGTTATTGGCCCTTCATGAGATTGCTGCCATGTATCAACTAAATCCACTAATTCTAGTAATGCCAAATGAGAACTTGGTATAGCTGAACCTTCCTGCCATCGGTGAAAGTGGAACTGCCTTATTTGTCGTGGGGGTTGTTCAGGCTGGGAAAAATACAGAACAGTAATCAATTTATAGTAATTAATAATGACAGTGTCTTTGATTCCAAAGATTAAGGATGAGTGTAGAAATGAATAATAATTAGTAATCAATCACTAAAGTATAGAATTTTTTAAAAAGTAATGTTTTCATTCTCTGTATGCCTAGTCAAGTGGTATGCACTTTAGAGTCATCTGGGTGTATTCAATGAGTCACATATTTTATATATTGTAATAACTTAAGGGAGGCAACTCAAGGAGGTATAGGTGTTTATTTACATGTAGACATGACAAACAAATAAGACATCTGCCTCGTTCTCTCTTCCCTGTAAACTTCCTTCCTAGTCTGGTTTCTAGGAGTGCACACCTTCTGCACTAGCCTGGACGACGGTGCGCATGGCAGACTTATAACAATATTATAAATGTATAGCACATACTATTAGTACACTT